TCGAACTAGTAGAGGTACTGGGGATGCCCGGTATGTTCAGATGAGAGTCCGGGATTTGTGCCAGAGCGTTCATGACCAGATCGCCCGCACTTTGTCCTCTCTTTTCGGCACACCTTAGGGCCTTTAGAATAATGCGATTTGGATCAACGTGGTATATGGTTATATCCCTTCCATGTGGCGTGGGGTGCAGTAGCAGGTCGTCGGAATCGTAAAACTCGTCGTCACTGTAGTCGTCGCTCTCGCAAGTGCTGTCGTCGCCGGGTATCGTCAAAGTTTCAATCTTCGTTGAGGAATTGAGGTGATGTACCGCTCCAGCCGGAATCATCCATATTGCCAACAGAGAGAGAAACAAAATTACACGTCCTCGCATCTTTCCTTTCCGCCGTTCTTTGAAGTTTTTTTTGCGGATGATTGCGCGCAGTTTAAATGAGCTTCCACCTTTGAATTTTATATCCTGAGTTCCTGATTCCTTGTCGACAGTCGTTACTTCCTTGATCACGATCGGCGATAGTCGCTATTACTGTCGTGCACGTTTAAATTGCAGGTGGCGAATAAGAGATTAAATTAACGCTGTGGTTACGGAATAATTTTCACCGAAGTAAATTTTCGATGTTCCAAGTCATATTTCGTTTTGCGCTGTATTTTCAAACCGCTGGTTAAAAATACTTTTTTTAAATCTGAATTGATTGTAAAATACACTTAATTTTCATTACTAACAAGATGATGTGAATTAAAAAAGTTTGTTACATCACGTCAATGCACTGTCCACATTTCAAATTTGACAAATGATTTAAAAAATAAATTAGAAATCAATCTTAATGTCTAGTTTCAGGGGGTTCTTTCAGAGTATGGTTTCCAAGGCACTTGGTTCTTTTCAGTGACCCATTTTCATAGATCAGTAATTTTTTAACATGATGATCTACATAAATAGAAGATAACCGCAGGTGCCATGACACATGTTCCGAATTATCGTCAACTAAAAGCGGAAAGCATATAGATACGCAGCTATTGTCATTGCAGCCTCGCATTGTACAGACATTTGCGGAAGTGGTGACGGCAAAGTGACACTCCTGAAAAAGTATCGCTAAAATTTTGCCGAATAAGTTCCCATACATTTTTAGCCACGTGCACCATTAGTTAACTTTATTATGGGAGGGAATAAATCCAACAAGAATAAACTTTCAACTTAATTTATTAATTCGTTATCTCGTGTACCTTAGAATATAATGTATCAGCGGAACGTAATAGGGTTCCGAGTCTAAGTCCTAAGTTCAGTATAAAAAGAGCACACGGGACGCAACGCGGCTAGATCGGTGGAAGAGGCGCGCGGAGCAGGAACAAACGGAGATGACATCAATTCGGTAGAGATCATTAAAATCTGAGTTAAGCCTGCCGATTCTTTCGTCGAAGGCTATTTCGCGAGTCGCGGGATTCCCAAAGGCAGTCCAGTGTGATGTAGCGTACGAGGACTAGAGTTTTATCTAGCTTAAAAGTGGACGGACCTTCGAAAGTCCCGTCTATCCTGAATATCCTATAACGATTCATTTACTGATCCCAAACAGGAGCGCCTTTCGTCAGCCCCCCCAATTATATTCGCAATAAAAATCTCTTGCGCCAAATCTTAAAAAAGATCTTTCTCTCTGAACTTCTTAGGAACGAAGAGATTTTGTATGCTTTTTGATCGTCTGATTAAGAAACTTATATTTTTCGCAACCCAATGCTCTCTGCCGACCAAGTAGGCGACAATTGTCGTTCCATTCGGGTGAATTACAAAAACTATAGTATCGCTTGTAACCGATGATGACGGGGATACGTTTACTTCAATATCATTAGCAGTCATTAAAACTCATTCTGAGCAACGTCAACGGATTTATGTCAGCTCAGAGTCGACATCAGGTTGCATTTTGGCGGGTTGTTTCACAAAGACGTCGGCAGAACGCAAAGTCGGCAATACCCCAACCACACGAAACGCGTCTTTGATAAATTGGATACCGCGTTGAGAATTGCGTATCTAATATGAATTAAGGGCCTAATAGGACGAAGGTAAACGAAAGAGCGCCAATGGCGAGTCGACTCGGAGTGCGTATTCCATTCACCTAGCTCGGAACGTATGAACTCGCAATAGATGTGCGGGAATGGGTAAGCTATGGAAATGCGATTACAGAGAAAAATGGCGCGGCGAGGACCCGTGGCAAGAAAGGTCCACCCAATCGAGAAAACGTCCCATTTACGTTGAACCATCGATCGGGTCGGATCTTCCAACCAGCGTAGACAGTGTATGTATAGCCAGGTAGACATCTTAACAGCTAGAATAACGATTCGCTCATCGTTACGACACAATCGATTCAATGTACAATTATATGTAACACATTCAAATATCGTACGTGTTTCCTTGTGCGACTATGCTACAAACACTAAAACTAGCTGACCGCGGTCGAATGGAGTTACTCTCGACAACTAAAAATACTGACTGAAGCGCTTATGTTTGTCTCTTCTTCGGTAAGTCGGTCGTCTCTGTAGTAACGAAGCGATGTGCGTTTTTCTTTTCCATTTTTCATTTATTAAGGATGCTCTCGCTTGCAATGAAAGAAACCCGACCGAAGGGAAAAGGACCTTCCTGGCTGTAATACTAACGAGAGCTGTAAAACCTTTAACCGAAAGAGCGACTTCTTTCCTCCTTGATTCTATTAGATACACGTTAAATTTCGGATCTCTGGTGGGCCCTTTCTTGGAATCCTGGGATTTATACGGAAGTCCGTGATTACTGTAGATCGCCGTTTTACATCACTTAAGTACAAACAATGGATCTATTTACAGCAGTAAGCGTCAGCTTTTATCCGAAGCTGATGCAGGAGAACTTTAGTTGGCACCACATTCCTGCAGTTTTCGCGAAAGCCAATTAACATTGTATCAAAACTCGAACCCAACCAATCTTTCCCACATAACTTTATAGACAGTGCTAATATCCATCTATGGACCAAGAATCCCATAGACTAAGATATAAGTAGGATCTCTTTTGTTTTTTTGGCCATTACAAATTCATTTCTTTGAGTTTTTAATAGGATTGCTCTTCTATCGATCAACATTAAATCGGAGGGCTTGAAGAATTTCGCGTTATGCAAGATTCAAAGAATGAAATGATGTTCGGAATTTTGCTCATAATATGAGTTTGTTTCACAGTAAGCTTGTTTGTGATGGCTACGAATGATAATACTGCACATTTGGTTAAAAAAAACACGAAGATGGCTGAAACAGTACCGAGACACAGCAAATTAAATACTTGCATAGTTTCAAACTTGGTGACTAAACTTCGTGGTACAATCACTCATTCACCCGTGAATCCTCTAATCACACTCAAACCACACATACTGTATAAAATCGTCATATATTCAGTCATCGGCCGAGGGAAGGAAAGAGTCGAAACAACGGATAAACTCAATGTAAGAAGCGGATATGTACACGCTTGATCAGGGTTATTAGTTATCGACGAAAAGTATGCTACCAGTATACGTGGAATGCCTGTCATCGAGCAGTCGTCGTACATTTACACGGTGTATAAAAATTCTCAATAAGTTTACGTGTTGTACTACTTAGCGTCGACGGACGAAGTTTCACCGTAAGGTTGTGGCGACATTTCGACAAGGACTTCGGATCGAACTTTCTGTATAACGTTATAACCATTCCAGACTTTGCGGATTTCTGGTACGATCATATATTGGGCTCGTCGACATCGATTTCAACCGCAGCTTACCGATCGAGTTGGGTTCTTCTCGCAAATCTTTAAAGCATAAAAATTAGCACAACAGTCATTTGTACAAAGTGATATAAAGTTACGCGGCGTCAATGATGATAATACCAAAAGTACGTAACTCAAAAGTAGACACGAGTGTATAGCGATGCATTATGCGAGTGTGCGATATCACCGAGCTCGAATAATACATTAAGGTCATGTCGAAGATCAAGTATAGCTCCCAAAAGATTGACATGCTGAGTCCGAGCTTGGCCCTTCACAAAAACTTAGTCAAACAATTGAAATGCGAGGAAAGAAAATGTTATAAGAGAAAACTCCAAATCTCTGGCAATACACCTAAAAATCTAATACGAAACGAAGGCAGGTTTCCCAATTTCTTTTTCTTTCCGAACAACTATCGCAATTCATCGTTTGCCGATCATGTATAATCCTCGGTAAACAACTTCGACCGTGCGCAATTTTACGTGACACCTATAAAACCCCTTTATGAGCATTTCCATCATTTGTTATGGCGATTTGGAAGTCTAGTCGTAGCTCAGCAAAATGGCAAGTCGTGGAGACGATGTAGGGAAGCGTAATGGTTTAGGAACTTCGCAGAACATTAGAGAAATTGTAAAACGGCATGGTGCGGCGACGATTTATACGGTTGGCGATTCGCTCAAAGAAGATCTGTTGTAGGATCTTACAAAAGCCGTTCTATTAATCCCCTGGAAGGATCATTTACGATCAAAAATTGCAGCACGGCGCGCCTCTTTGAAATCAAACGATTCTATTGAGAAAGTTTCTCTAGGAAGAAACGGATTCCGAGGGACATCCCCGTCGCACGTCTGGCCGTGGAAAATAATCATTACCGTCGTTTATGGCGCACTTCACATCAACGCAGTTCGACATACAAGTACAGATCGACTTGCTTTTTGTAATACGCCTCAAATATTACATTATTGCCATATCAACTAGTTTCACGGCAAGATGCTTCGAAATGTCGAGTCGCTCGGCTGCCCAATATGCCCAATGATTTATTGCTCTTTGCACATTTCGAAACTTGGTTCGCAACAGCGCAGAGTTCTCTACACTCGAGGTCGTATAAACAAGTAATGAGATCTAACGCAAGAAACAGAGTTCGCGCTGCCGGGGAGATTCTTACAAAGGAAACTATTCAATGCGAATTTTCATTTCATGGAACCTATGCAGCTTCGTCGTGCATTTCAAGATAAATATCAGGCAACTCTTTACTAAAACTGAAATCGAGTCCTATTCTTATTCTTAATCACATAATGATACATTTCCAGTCTCTTTTGAGTTAACCTTTATCAGCGTTGCATGCATTGAATTATTTTGTCACATAAGATATTTGTCATCAGTAAAACCGCGAAGGTAACACAGTCCAGATATCATATAATCCCAAAAATATTGTGAGCATAGAAATGGACCAAATTCAAATTTTTCTCTCACACTTGAAATTGGTTTCAAACCATACTTCGTAGGCAAAACGTATACGCTTTAGAGATGTACAGAATAGTAAGCAAAACGTATACGCTTTCGAGATGTACAGAATAGTAAGCAAAACGAATTGTCCTCTTGCTCGTCTAGAATACGCTTTCGTACACTCAATGAAATGCTCATCGTTCGCCTGTGAATAGGTCTTTAGAAACTAAAAATTGCTTGGTGGACAACTCAAAACATTGAATTTCTGGCCTGTACGAACTTTGTTAAAAAGAATAAACGTCGGTGTTAGAGGTCATCAAAATTGAAAAATCAAAACATCCGGCAAGTTAAAAGCGAGCGATATTGTCGAAGAAACGATCAGAATCTATTACTGGGAATGCGATTGGCATGCGTATTCTTCGACTCGAGGATTCCCAAAGTTCTCAAGGAGAGTCTCGCCGGTTGAAATTATACTCCAGGGCTACGAAAGAACGGCCCTGAAGATCCCAAGACGCGTTTCCCAGGGCATGATGATCCTGGTAGAGGACGAAGAGGTGCACGACACAGAGTCCTCCTCAGAATCCAAATTGGTCATGTGCAGTATCCTTACCGCCGAGGAGAGGCGAAGCTTGCTGGCCGGTGAACTGAAGACAAGCCTGCGACTCTGCTTATTGTTAGTGAAATCGGCGAAACCGTAATGTCGGCGACTGGTCTGCAGCTGCTTTGCCTTGCGGCAATATGTTGCACGGAAGGGTTTCGCCACGGATCATTGTCGATACGTCTGAGGAGATATGCCGTTCCCGGGTGTCACGTAGTCACCGATCATCAAACTTGGATTCACTGGATAATGCGAAGTGTTTCCGAGGACCAGCGATTGCTGGAAAGTAACACCAAGCTGTAGCAAGTAAGAGACGCAGGCAGGCGCAACCTTTAGTATCCTCCTCACACTTGAGATATTGCCAACTAGTCGAGTCTATTGATAGGACTTCTATTTCTAACGATAATTCGTAGTCAAATTAAAACAACAATTATTATAACTATTAACGCAGCAGCTTATTCGAGGATCTCCGATTCTTCTTTAATGTTATGCATAACCAAATTTTGAAAACTATCAACACTTGTCGCCTGGAGTATCCGCACTACAAACGGTGCTTAACTGTAACTCCTCTGCATTCTCAAGCAAATTAAAATCGTAGATATTTGCATGTAAGTTGGTTGACAAAGCCATTTGTTAGAACAGCTGCAATTTAGAATCAATACCTTTTTTCTTATTAGTAACAGAATCAATCGAAAATAGACTTTACTAGCAACAAACATTCAGTTGGTCATCTGAACCAACCGGTAAACCACAAAATCTACATGTATATATATACTCTGACTTGTTTAATCCTTTGAGTGCCGGTAACAACATATAGTCGTTTTATAAGTGCTAACAACTTTGACCGGCATTAAAAGGATTAAACTTATAGATGAACAATCAGTGCGGTTTACCAGTCGTTTCAAAAAGAAGCTCGTAAGAGACTTTGCAGGGATTTTTATACTTACTGTGGCCGGAGAAGTGAACATATTCGGAGTTATTCCTCCTCCAATGAGTTGAGCCGCTTGTGTACTCGTGGCGGTGCCTCCGACTCGCCCTCGTCCTGTACTCGAAATCGAGCCAGGGTGAATATTGGGCTGACCTCCTATTGCAAAAACAAATTCAACTATTCAATTTTCATGCTGCAAATGAAAGACATTCTACCTCTTTGATGGACTAAAGGAAAAAAAACTTTAGGACCCGTAAGAAAGCCGTTTATTGGCGAAATAAGGCCAAATAACGGAAAGATAAAATACCTCTCAGATTAACGAAACAAAGTCATAAACATCACTGCGAGTAAAACTCAAAGAGACGTTAGTGAAACGCTTTCAAAATGAGTTGTTTTTGTATTAATCACTTGTTGATATTTGAATGGGATCCCTTCTGTCAGACTCTTATTAGAAATTTAAGCGACTTATAAAAATTATTAAATAAAAAAACATCAAAGAAACTTTAAATATTCTGTACATCCCAATTACTTGATACTACTTTTCTGGATAATTAACGTTTAAAGTAAAATGAATATGAAAACATTTTAATCTAGGAGTTCCTGATGGAATTGATCTACTTTTATCTCATTTTAACTATCCCTTTTCTCTGTCTCCTACACCTTCCATTATTCTGAAAAACACTGGTGGTAATTAACGGATATAATGAAGCCTTGCTCGGTTGAACATCATCAAAAAATCATTTATTGACCCGACGAGATCTTACAAAATATACAGAACATAGTCGTCGCAAAAAATCTTGCTATAATATTTACAGACTCCAGGTGTGTGCCGTCGACTTCGCACTTCCTACAACGTTGCAACGATATAGTCAAACCCGAAGGCGAAAATGATTCCTGCACTATCGGCACATGAGATCACTATAGCTGAGTGTACGACGAACGTAGTTTTATTAGCGAATCGATGATTAATTAACTCCTGTACCTATATCCCCCACTGCATAAAACATCCACAGCCTATAGCAACAATTAATTATTTTTAAGAACCTAATATCCTTTGGAAATGCTTGCTGGATATTTAAATCAAATCATGTGCCAAAACCTTTTCACTTCTGTTTTCCATCTAAATATTCAGATTCGTTTTTAATAGCAACTATTTGGATAACCCGTTAGACTTCAATAAACTCCCATAACTTAGCGGAATTATATAATTACAAAAAAAGAATAATGAAATTGTATTCAGCAATTACGTCTTCTGAAGTACTAATGGATGTTTGTTCGCAATGTGGGGCTTAGGATTTATCTCCCTTTCTTTCATTCTTAAATCCTAAAGTAAGAGGCAGAACTGTTCGCATCTCGCCACTAGAACGACCAAAATAGAAACAAAATTGGGAATGCATGTCGCAAATACGCTTATGGCAGATAGGCCGACGTAGTATACCTTCGACCCTACTAATAAAATAACGAGCGATGTGTTGCGACCAGATCACGGACGGTTAATATACGGTATGTTGAGCGTTTTCAACGACAAACTACTAAGTCAAGGCGGTTTCTCTAGCCAGCATTATACAGCTATACAAGTCCTAGAGCCAAGACAACCAATGCTTACTTAAAATCTCAACCAACTTTTAGTTCCTATTCATCAGAGGAACATTATATCAGACTTTCCTTCGAGCAAGATTCTGAAGTTGGGATTCTCTCGTTCGAAAACGATATTTCTATTGTTTTAAGAGGATTTAGAGAATTTTTCTCCACGTAATGAACCCGAGTTTAAAAAGAGTAATGATATATTGGGGAGGAATCAAACCACATCTTACCTAATGCTAGCAAATTACTGGGATTTACTGCCGCACTCGTATCCATGGACACTTCTCCCAAACCGTTGACAGACATTCCATTGACCATGTTCACAGCTTGTCGCGCACCTTGGGCATCCAAAGTCGTCCAGTAAGATTCACTCGGAGATGTATTGTTTAAACCAGGTGGAGGCTGAGCTGCGGCGCCTGTGTACCTGAAGTATGGATTCTTCAAATCCAACGTATTGCTGCTACTTTCCATGTTTATTCCTTCAAGTTTTAAGTCTATTGTGACGTCGTATGATTGCCTGAATAAATCACATTGCACGATTAGTTAACATTGAATGCGTGAAACCTGAAACTTTCAAATCATTACAACAATATAAATTATTCTTCTACATACTTATGAACATACATGATTTTACTGCTAACATAACTTATTACAGCAATAAAAGTTATTGAATGCTTTTGCTATAATAACTCTATCGATTATTAAACATCTAACTAGATTGAATAATTTACCTTTTATTTGCAACCAAGATAACTTTTCCAGAAAGTAGCTGCCCACTTTTGCAGAAAAGTGGATTTTCCAAAAGGCACCGCACTTGATACCAGTGTGTGAGTGGTTCAGTAGGAGCAGTGCTTAGCCAAACTTGTTGAGTCGAACCAATAAATGCTACATCGAACCAAAAAGCGAGACCATGACAGGTCCCACTCTCTAATATGTGAAAATCAACATCTATTTCTGAAAAACAAAAATTATTGTGAACAAAAGACTTCTTGAAATAAGTAGAAAATTAGCGAAAAATGATCTCACCTATTTTGTGTAAATCAGTCTCGTCAGCTGTCTGGAAGTCAACTATATGTCTAACGGACTTAGCCATACAAATGCGTATATCGAACGTGTCTACTATTGGTTGTCTAAAGTACTCCTTAATAGCATTATTTCTCATTGCAGAAAGATCTACACCATGAAAACAGGTTTGATACCAAAAATTGGCTTTGTTAAATTGCTCCATGTAAAGATTTTCGTCTGAGAATGGAGCTATATGGAGATCACCCCTCGAAGGAAACATCCTTCCTCCTAGAAAAAATAACAGTAATTGCTCTTCATCTCTATGCCCAAGTGAATATATTTGGTACAGATTATTATAATCTCAAAACGAATTACAGAAATTAATTATTACCTGAAACCAGCCACTTCTTGGCATGAAGGTATGTCTCGAGCATTCTTTCATTATATAACATATATCCCATTGGTTCACTCACTATGCAGTCTATACGCTCCGGTAGATCTATTTCTTCTATTTTTCCAGCTATTACAATAATCTTGTCTGACAAGTTATTTGCAGCAACCAACAACTCTGCATGGTTTGCCATATTACTCGCCTCAACAGCATACACTTTCTTTGCTCCAGCTTGTACGGCAAAGAATGATAAAATACCAGAACCAGCACCCACATCTAATACTACTTTGTCTTTAAAATCTGACAAGTTTCCTAATATCGCACGTTGGTATGTACTTGTCCTTATGTAGTCTTGCATCATGTTTTGCTGCTGCGACAGGTAACCATAGAATTGAAAATATTGCATTGCAGAGGATTCCTCCGTCCTTTCGTTAAATGCAGAAACTCCCTTTCCATTCTTGAGTTTAAGGATTTGGGAATGAAATTGTCTGAAGTCTGAACATAAAATTAAATGTAAAATTTTGTATAATGTATTGTGATATATCAGCAAACAATATTTGTGTGAAATGTTATTTTTCTATTGTTTAAACAAACTTACCTGATTCATTAACAAAAGTAAGTAGCAAGCTTTCCATTTCAAGGGTAAAAACATAACTTCGGGATGCTACCCTGGAACATTCTGTGGTATGTGTCACCGGAAATTCCAATAGTGTACTTTTCTCCTTGCCAAACGAATCCCCTGTAAGATTAAATATACATTAATCTGGTTCAAGAAATGTTTATTTTTATGAGATATTTATCTTATGATAAAGCCTTATTAATAATGCTTGATTTCTAGATATTTACTTCAAAATTTGATTTCTAGTATCATATCACCTAGGTCAAATATCAGCGGAAAACAATACAAAATATAACATTCACATGTTGTTGTCATTTATGAATACACTAAACTCTATCGGTATTAAGCATTATGCATATATATTACAATCATTTTACATACGCCTATGAGGGAACAAAAGAAATAAGTTTTGAAATTTCCTTGCAAATGCGTTATGAACTTGACAAAAAAAAAACATTCTTTGGCAACAAGGTTAAAGAGTATCATATAAATTAATCATAACTAGTTAACAGAAAATCAATTCAAAAACCTTTTTATTGAAAAGGAATCAGTTAAAATATGTTATCATAACTAGTGATAAGTAACAAATTAATGAAAAAATAGATTGTAGCTGAAACAAAGTTGTCTATAAGACATCAATAACAACAAGCAGTGGTACAGGATACCCTTAACTAAAGGTGTCTGGATTAATAGAATCATCAAAACATCCAATTAAATGTAATCAGACATAAGCAGACACATCTACTACGTTTGGTTACAAGCAGATTAATATGAACGAAATACCTCATAGAAGTACTTAATATTTTAAACCATCTCAAGGTTATGAATTTAAGAGCTACAATAGACACTAAGGTTCATATGCTTTGATACAAATAAATCCTCAATAAAGCATACTCTTCCGATAACTAGATAACAAAAGTAAATGATTTTGACAATAATCACGTTTTGCCTAATTCTGCTGCCAGTGATTGCAAAAATCACTAAAAGTTCATGTAACAGAAATAATTGCTGACAGTTTTCCTAAATCCAATGTCCAAATGCTAAGCTCAAAAAAGAATTATTCTGGAATTCACACATCAATGCCAACTGACATGATGCAAAATAATGGAACAAAGACATTTGAGTGAAAGAAAATTCCCGGGAAAAATGACGGAGCTGGTTGAGACAAGAAAAAAATAGAAGAAATCAACGAAGGAAGGAAAAAACAGGTCGCGAGCAAAGTAGCATCCGGTCGTTCGTCGAAATGCGGTTAGGTCTGAAAGGACGGCCGCGGCATCGAGGCATCAGTAGGTTAATATCGATCGAAGGTCAAGCTGGGAACGGGCAATACCTGATAGAAGCTCGACACTGAGGCCTTGGGGGTCGTAATTGATATTGAGCGTGACCGGCCTATCGTACTTCGGCGTTGACTGTCCATTGTTTGACAAAGTCGATACTGTCACCGCACGAAAGGCCTTCGCCATTTTTCGAGGCCGCCGCCGCCGCCGCGTGCGTTCCCGTGGGGTTCGCCGTCTCTGGCGTCGTCTCTGCTTGCGTCGCGGCTTGTCCCACGGCGGCCCGCTCTTGGCGGGCTCAGGCTCAGGGTCTCGTCCGGGAAATCTAGAAACCCTCTGCCCTACGACACGCTTTCCGTTCCCACTGATTCCCGCCCGTACACCCCAGAACTCGATGGAGAGAGTCGGCAGCGGTCGACACTAGTCGGATGGATTGCAATTTCGGAGTTCGTACGCCGGACCACCCCCCGGCGCACGCCGCGACGCACACCGACCCAAGTCGGATTCACCTACCGGCTCACACCATCGAGCAGGTCCTCTCGAAGTGGTAATCGCCGCCGCCTCGAGAATTCGAGATACTCGAGCTCGAGACCCTCGAGACGTTTAACACGCCATTGACCAACTTGCATCCGATCAGAAACTAGTGTCGGCAAGCCGTCTCGCCGGATTCCAAGAGTTACTCTTCGCTTCTATTTTACGTACAAACGAGTCGTTATTGTGACTTCAACTTGCATATATAGTTGGTCGTACAATACGTAGAAGATATTAGTAATACCGTCATAGACGGTTTATTAAAAACGGCATTACTCTCGTTTGACTCAGTTTTGAACATGGAACCCAAAATCGAATTCGGCGTAGTTCCGCGCGCCGGCGCTAGATGTCGCATAAATGCGTATAAACGTGTGAGAACAGGTCAAGGATTCTATACTACAGAGGATTGCTCAATCGCTATACTCGTCATGTAATCAAAGCATGGACGTAAGAACATATGGATGAAACTCAAATCAGAGGGGGAGTGCTGAAATAAATAACGGAGGAACATGTAGGAACAATGGGAAGGTAACTATAATGTTGTGCCAAAATCTTAGCTTCCTCTGATTGGCTGAGATTTAGTTGTCACTTGACGAGTAGCGAGTAAAGAACGGTGCGGGCTGTGAAAAAATAAACAGTAATTGAAGTACATTGGCATTCGTCGATGGCTTCCACCTGTCCGTACTGCCCTCTCCGGCCGCGTGGCGTACTAGCGGCGGGAGCAGCGCAGAGTTTGAATCGCTCGAGGAGCAAAATGGATTTCCTAAAGAAAATAAATGTTTATGAACAGAAACAATTAATGAAAATTATTTAAATATAATTGTGGAGTGTCCCTAATCCATGTAACGTAGTTTTTGCTAAATGATTATTTACAGAATTTCATAAAGAATATAATAAAACATGTTTCACTAAAAGTTAACAAGTTTCATAGCGATTAAATTGTTTCACCCATTGAACCGAAGTCAGAATATTATCTTGGCTTAAGAAAATAGACTGTTAATATTTATACAGAGAAATGCCGTAAGCAAATTTACAATGCATCCACTTTCGGACATAGAAGCGGAATCATGATTTCATATCTCTTATATATTTACGTTTTACGCCATTCTTCGTACTCCTCGAATGAATGGACACCTGTAAATTCATTAAATGAGCATGTAAATGAGCACCCATAAACATAAGAAAGACTTTTCTTATCCGAGTTCATTATAAACGCAAATCTGAGTAACTTTTCTGAATTGAATTCATTCGACACAGGTATCCACAACGTAAAACACCATTTTCTATTTCGTAATTGAAATTAAAACAAGAAATTATTTTGGAATTCCAATTTTAAAAAGATTTTGAATCTATTTCCATTTGAAATTAAATACTGCCAGAGAAATGAGAATATTAGAAAAGAATTGATCAGAATGATATTTGTTCTATCAATTGAATCAACTCTCGAAAAAGTTAAATAACACGCATAAGTCGAAATACCCATATTGGCAAAAAGAGATGAAATTAAAATGTTTACTTGCAATTTAAATACAAATACAAGTAAAAAAATTACGTGTTCGAAAAAAAGCATGGACAACAAAGGGTTAACATTACGACTAGATGGCACAGTTAATTCGAGACATTTCTCGTTGAGGAATTGATCCTCCATTCCCTCTGTTAGTTACTTGATCGCGGTTGCTGCAAAATGACAATCCGCCTTGCGAGCTGCGGAAGGAAGGGGCGATAAGGCCCGAGACTGAACGACTGCAAGCGAGAACGCCGTCGGAAGGCATAAGATCCGCGAGAGAGCAAGGGAGAACGCCGCTCCGGATAGGACAAGACCGCAGCTCGAGGTAGAGAGAAAGTCTTCCTCGCTGGCGTGAAAACGTTGATGCTAATGCGATTATTGGTAGCCGGATATCGAGACCCTAACAACAGGGGGTGGAAGGCCCGAGACCGGAGTTTTGAGTGTGGTAGTGGAAGCTCGAGGCTTTTGCGACCCGTAGGAGCAAAAGAGAACGCCGAACGAAAACGTAAGGCCCGAGATGACTCGATTGTGGGTCCCGGCGAGGGAAAGGACGAAAGCAGCGTTGATCGATAACGCGAAAAACGTCTGGGAAGAGCTACGACGAAACCCGGAGTTTTTCGACAATTTAATCGATTCGATTCCGAATCGATTAAATTAAGTGGTTGACCGGGGCGGGTTCTGGACGGACTACTAAGGACTGACGATAAGGCCTTTTTCAGGGCCGTAAATAATTTCTAAGTAAAGCAACCTAGCATTCGTGCAAATAAAAATGAATAAAGAAAAATCGACATTCCTTTCCCAAACGCATATCTTTAAATAAAGAAAAATTCCTGCGGTTCCGACAAACCACATTATGAATGAAAAGAAAATTTTGTGCCATCCAAGTTTTTTAAAAGCGAATATACAATCTGCTATTAGGAACACTATGTGCAACTTTCATTAAACATATGTTTTCTCGTATTTTTTAGTAACTCACGCTGAAAAAAAAAAGGAGTGTAAATTCATCTAATTTTCTGAGTTAAATATGGCGAACTCAATACACTAGTTGACTCAATTTAGATTTGGAGCTATCAATTCTGTTTCAGTCAAGTTTGGAGTTGATTCAACTACAAAATGTGATTTTGCACTAAACGTAAGATAAACCAACTCGCTTATTGAGTTCGCCATATTTAACTCAAAAAATGAGTTGAATTTACTCGTGTTTTTTCCCGTGCAGAAGTAAAACAACATAAATCTAGAAATTCAGGAAAGAAAACATAAATGTTAGTCTTTGTGAATGTCTTAACACTATGCCGTCCGCGCGTCTAATCTAGATTTTTTCGTGTCGTGCCGGTGCAACTGACTTACATAATTTCGTGGCACCAACGTGGAACCACCGGCACTTACCCGATAGTTTTTGCATGGCACAAACGTGGAGCCACCGGACGTCATAGTGTTAAAATACATTTTATTCTCCTTAAAAATACGCAACCAATATAAAAGTTTATAAATTTCTCTAGTAACTGTCAAAGATATTTGGTCCCGTTTTTCTGCAGTCGGAAAGGTTTCTTGGGTGCCATTTTTATACACTCGATGGCCAATCTGCTTACCGTAGTTTCTAACCATCTTTTCCCGATTCGCCCCGACCAATACACTGAAAAGGAAATCAATTGCTAGAAAATTGATGCTTTAATTTTTCTCAACCTGACCTCAAATACATTACTGTAAAATGTAGTCAAAAGATTGAAGTATGTACAAATTGAACGAATAATGCTAGAAAACCTTAATATAAAACATAAGTTTACGAGGCAATGAGAAAACCACAGGATTTCTCGTTAATTTTCAAATTTGATTACATGGACACATTAAAGTTACGACAGTAAAAGATTGAACCATAATGGGTCAGAAAATTTTATATTGCGGAACAAATTGACATTTTTGCAATATGATATTATATGCAAACAAGTTGAATAAGTTGAGTTGGCCTCGTGCTATATACGAGGTTGTACAATACCGAGAGGGCGAGATCCTAACCGAACGCGAACTCGATCAGGATACGCGAGATGAAAAGTTCTATTTATCGATTACGCGTGTGATTCAAACCAACAAGTGTCCGTCTTTGATTGCGGACCAGCGTAATAATTTAAGTTAACTAACTGAAAGAGGCTATCAAAGTTTGATAAGCCTAGCCGAAAATAGCCGTGAAAAGCCGAAGTTTAAGGAGCGTTCCGAGTGACGTCCTGAGCCCAACGAATCCTGCGATGAACTGGCGTTTTTGGGTTGTTAAAAAAGACGCTTCGCTTGCGTCTTGCCTTCGGAAGGGGAGCAACATTGTCGCCGAGCGGTTTTCCAGTTGCAGGGTAGTTCGCAGAAGTGCGCCCATAAATTCCCTGAAGAGGGTTGCCTAAAACTCCGTAAAATTTTCCAAGCACGTCTCCGTCATCAAGCAATAAACCAGTAAAGAGACCCTCGCTGAGTTTAACCCTCCTCGAGGACTCTCACTGATATATGATGGTCATTGGAGATAACTTATGGCCGCTCTTGCCCAGAAGACAGCCAATTTCGGAAAACACTCGAGTGACATGTGCGGTCCAGGCGGACCGACTTTCACCGCGGAGCGCATCCTAAACACCTCGTCCCTTCCGGAACGGCGTTCTCCCTTGCTATCTTGCCGTTCTTATGTCTCCCGACGGCGTTCTCGCTTGGACTCCTTCACCCGCAGGCCTTATCACCCTTCCTTCCGCGGCTCACAAGGCGGATTGTCATTTTGCAGCGACCGCGATCGAGTAATTAACAGAGGATCAATTCCTCCACGAGAAATGTCGTCTTGAATTAACCGTGCCATCTAGTCATAATGTTAACCCTCCGTTGTCCATGCCTTTTTCGGACACGTTATTTTATGACTTGTATTTGTATTTAAAATGCAAGTAAACTATTTAATCTCATCTGTTTTTGCGAATGTGGCTATTTCGAGTTACGCGTGATGTTTAACTTTTTCGAGAGTTGATTCAGTTGATAGAACAAGTATCATTCTGATCGACTCTTTTCTAATATTCTCATTTCTCTGGAAGTATTTAGTTTCAAATGGAAATAGATTCAAAATCTATTTAAACTTGGAAATCCATAATAGTTTATTGTTCTTAATACTGTGACGTGGTATATTTTGCCACCCCCTGGCGACCCCAAATTTCTGCCGACATGTTTTTTTTTGCAGTCTTTGGTTGCAGGGTCCGAGGTCCGACGGTCACCGACCCGCGGGGGAGAGGGAGAGGATGCTTAGTTAATAATCCATTAATATTTTATTACAGCCTAATTTAGCGATCCGCGGGAACTCTTCCCGATTTCCTGTAAGGAATCATTCATTCGTTGTTCTTTTTTGAGTTCCCGGGCGTGCTCTCGAGCACTCGCCGATATTCGGAAGGAATATTCGGCGAGGTGATTGAGGGCTCGCGAAATCTTTTGTATCGCGTAGCGCGGCTCCGGTCGCTAGGCCGGAGTGTCAACATCGGCGAACTCTCGGAGGTCGCGCTCGCGCGCGCGCTACCACTCGTCGCCCCGGCTGGGAAGAAAGAAGCCGTCGAGG